CCCCGTCCGCATCCACTGCAACATCACGGTGAGGACCCCTCTTGCGAGCGCCCCTCGGGGGTCCCTTGTCAGGGAGCACCCCGTACAGCGCTTTGCCCTCGTAGGACCCGGGAGGCCAAAGACCCTCGGGGCTCGGCCTCTTGCCGGAGCTTACACTTGGTCCTGCGGCTCGCCGTCGCCCGCCGCGCACCCACGGCCCACCCTGGACCCCTGAGAGCGAGGGGCACCGTGACATATGGCGACCCCATGCCCCCCTCCCACCCACCCGCCTCCAGAGGGTCAGGATTTGGGATCCGTTGGGGCCACTCCTTTATCTCGCCACCTCGCCTCCCCCTCGCCCATCTCAAGGTTCCGGGCCTCGGAACCGACCCAGCCGGCAGGATCTGACCTGGACCCTGGCACCTTGCGGGCATGCCCCCTCGCAGTAGTTCCTTTGACTTAGGATGTTGCCACCTGTGGGATCCCCTGCCCAGGCAGCCCCCTCTTGGGTGTCAGAATTGTACCAGGTGGTAGTTGGCAGTTCATTGACTCTTCCTTTCCCTCCTTTAGATGGTGTGTGCGTGCGTGCTTTTTCTCCTGGTGTAACCTCTAACTCTCCTCATTCTGTCCCAGCTGGTAGCAGACCTGTCCCTCCCCTCCCTGTTCCCTGTGGATCTCTCCAACCACTTGAGGTCGTTGGTCTTTCCTGGTAGAGATGGTGCTGTGCCCAGGCCAGCCCCACGTATTATGGCATTTCTCCCCAGCCAGCAGCTGGACAGGGGAGACTAAACACCTTCCAGGTCTCCTACCTAGTCCACCAACAGATATCCCCCGAAGAGGGCTGGCCTCTGGGGATGTCTGGTACTGCATGGTATATCATCGCCCTGTGTTGGTTATTGGCTGCGGTGCTGGTGGTCACCCTGCCGGGGGAAGTAGCTCAAAGAGCCAGGGGACAGCACTTTATCCAAGTAGGGCAACTGCTAATGGGAGCAGTCCAGGGAGGGTCGGGCATGTGAATTCCCGGGTCCTTGGGACCTGGACCAAGGGGCATGGATCTTGTCACCTAGCCCTTGCCTCCAACCAAATCTTGACAGAGCAGGCCAGTGTTTGGTGAGGCAAGTCTCAGCTTGGGTTGGATGGTGCCCCGCCAAAACTCAACTCGTCTTGCCCCACCACACCCTTTTAAAAAAACTAAACATTTAGATCAAGAGAACAGGGGGCTTAGGCAAAGACTTGGTCCCTCCGACCACTTTTTCCAGCAGCACTGAGGATTAAAGCCACCGTGGTGCTGAGTGCTTCCCAGGAGAGGGTGGTTCCCTCGGTACGTGCGGAAACCTCAGGCGTTCCTGTGGGGCCCGAATGGAGCTGCTCAGTCAGTAAGGGTGGGCTTGTTCCGTCTAGCTAACCTTTCAGTGGACACGGGCCGTCTGTATTGTCTTTCTCCTTGGTGGGGCGTTAGTGGAGAGGAGGTGCCCCTGCCCCTGGCCCTCCTCAAGCGAGACTTGGCCTGAAACTGGCCCCTTGAGTTGGGGTAGTGTGGGAGTCTGGTCAGGCTGCTGTTGGCACCCTGGCTCAGGAATGCTGGGAATGTCAACAGCGTAGGCTCCCTTCTCCAGGCCTGACATGTGGAGCCCTGCAGCCCCCACTTGGACTGAGGGTGGTAGGCGCCTAAGAGCCGGGTTCAGGGGGCTAGGTCTGTGAGGGGCCCTGCTGGGGGTGGGGGTGGGTAGGGAGACTCCTCCCGATACCCATTTCCTCCTGTGTTCTGGGGGCACCATTGATTTCGTACCCTTCCTTTCCTCGCCGGCTAAAGCCAACCGCTTGCTTGCTTGATGTCGGTGTGGTTGCGATGAGCTGAGTAGTGAGAGTTGGAGAAGCAAGAAGGGCTGTTGTTGGTGTGGGGAGCCCCTCCAGTGGGAGTGGGAGCTGGCAGGAGACCTGCCCTGCGAGCAGAATGCGGCTCCTCCGTTGTCAGCTCAAGGACAGAACGAAGAGGTTCTGGGCTGCTGGTTGGAAAGTGCCCTCCCAGGGACTTCTGCTCCCAGTCTAGGGCTTACTGGTTAGATGCTGAGCTGGGGGCGTGGAGGGTGGGGTGGCGAGGGTTGTGGGAAAACCGGACTTTTTCCAGAATCTCCCATTCTGACTGCTCTCCCTGCTCCTCTCCCCTCAGGAGTCATACCCTGCTGTGCCCCCCATCTGGTCCGTGGAGTCCGATGACCCTAACTTGGCCGCTGTCTTGGAGAGGCTGGTGGACATTAAAAAAGGGAACACCTTGGTAAGGAGGGTGGGAATGGGCATTTGGTCCTGTCGGTCCCCTGTCCAGTGACAGGGAGCTGTACCTGAGAAGTGGGGGCAGTCTCCTTAGGGGCCAAGGAAGGGCTGGGAAGGCCAAGGCAGACCCCTGTCTGCAGCAGGCTGGGCCCTCCACAAGGCTCATTACCACAGCCATGCGGTCCAGAAGGGTTGGAGAACTAGGGACCAGTGTGGGGCTTAGGCTCTTAGCTCATCCAGCCTCCTGCTCAGATTGGGGTGGGGCTGGGTGCATACTTGATATCACTCTGGGCCGTGTCGCCCCCCC